AAAAAAAAAAAAAAAGAGTAGAAAGGAATGAGTATAAAAATACTCAATAAGCAGCCTACTTGTAGGCTCTTTTCACATCCTTATCTTGGTAGGTATCCACAGTCTTTCTTGGGTTTCTAAGGAGAGTGATCTAAGCTACAACTCTCTTTTCTATATCTTAGGAGGCTTTCCCATTTGATGCAGTGAAATGGTCAATGTCCTGAGGTGAGGCGCGACCTCATAAGTAAATCTGAGGGAATCGTATGGCTGGATCTGAATACGTGACTCTCTTTGAACATCATCCGTAGAGGTTAGCTGACAACTCTCTCACGGGACCATACATCCACTAAATTCGGGGTGCGACCCCCTGTGTGCCGATCAGCTACTAAGTCATTCTACGTGGCTCCACGTCCCCCACTCAAGGAAGAGTTTCTACGGCCTAGGAGTCCTGTTCAGAAGACCCCTTAGCTATCACCACTAGGTCTGGGCACCTGTCACACTTCCCTATCCGGATCTACCAAGCTCAACGATCTTTGTACCGGAGCTCTGTCTCGACGGTACGGCATCGGAGTAGAGAGGGAAGTGGAGGTTCTGATGAAACTACCCACACTGCTCAACTCTAGCAGGCTACCTATAGTTACCGTGGTGTCCTACTGTCCTTTCTAGGGTGGAACTTGGTGGCTTAGACTTGGATTCATGCATCTTTAGGATTCTCGTGTCTGGTCTCATAAACCTATCGGGTTTGGAATTCTGGGCTCTGGATCTGCCAGTAATCATTTCGCGGGTCTCCCAATCTAGGATCTTGTCTAGCCTACTTAGCCATAAGCACCCTAATCTACGCTCATAATTCCTTCCTATTCAACAAGAAAGATAATACAAGTAATCATCATGCATAGGAGTTCACACGCAACAGTTCATGCAATATTAACAAACATGCTCAACGGGAAAATAACGTCCATCTTCACCCGGAGCGCAGATTTCACAAGTTTCCCATCCTCTTCATGCATACATACTTTATCAGAATCTCAATCAAAACAGATATAATAAACATTTCATATCTAGCTTTCCTTAATCATTTCATTTTCGCAGTTTTCATACTAATATGCTAGGACCGGCTAGCTAAGTTTATGGGTGGTAGCATGCATGCTTGTTCCTAGCGGTTCCTACAAGTACTGCTCGTGGGAATCCAAATGGCTACTTACTTGGTTGACCCATGCCTTCTCGAGTTTGAGTTTTCTTGACGGAAAGGATTCCAAAAATTTTGTAATTTTTTTGACAAGTCCTAATTCACATAATAATAGAGTTAGTATCAAAATCGAGACGGAAAACAAGCAAACGGAGACCGAACAAAAAGAAAAACAGTGACTCACACGCCTACACGCGCCCTGGAGGGTTTCTACGTGCAGCTCCTATGAGTGCGTGCCCCCGCGCGGCTTCCCGAGCAGTCGTGAGTCAGAGGCGTCGAGTTGGGGTGGTTTACGGATATAGTGGTTCGCGTGCGGCGCCGAGTCGGGCCGGCCCGGATACGCATGCCTGACGCGTGTTCGCTACCGGGTGAGGACGCGCCTCACCAGTCGGTGATCGCCACGTATCGATCAGCGGTTCTGCCGCACTCCTCCGTACGCTGGCCGACACGTGGCGGTGTCTCCTCCCTCTCTCCTGCGTGTTTTCAATTTTCCAATGTTAGCCTCTCTCACATTTCGATCTATTTTCTTCCAATTTTTTTATCTTCCAATCCGTAATCCGATTCAACAAATTTTCTTTACGAATCTTGTAGATCTCATATTCTACTCCTTCGAAACACTTTTCTTATATTTTTCTGATAATCACGGATCTTAACATTTGAGTTCGAATTCGGAGAAAACACGAGTTCTTACCAAAAATCACGTTTTTCTTGAAACTCCAATTCGAATGCCAATCTTGACTGCCTTCACTCTGGAACTTAACCAGATAATGCTATTGAGGGTAAGAATCTAAGGATCAACACAAAACATAGCTAACACACGAAAATCTTGATAACTTCTCGATCTAGACACTCATGGACTAACCTGAAGTTCTTGGACGTTTTGACGAAATAGGAAGGTGCGATTCATGAGAGCACCTTGCCTCGGACTATTGATGGTTTAGATTGCGGACTTGGATCTCCATCGTCGGTTCTAATCTGATCTCCTCCTCCTACCTTAAAAACCCTAATCTTCTTTCCCTCTTCTTCCTCCTCTTTCTCACCCCCCCCCCCCCCCCCCCC